CTTTTTGCCCTCTTGTCACCCCTTGCGGGCTTAGCATTCAGTGCACTCCAAGGCACGAAAAGAGGGCGGAAGTGGTTGAAGCGGTTGACAAATTCGTGTAATTATGCTTATACCTCTCAGGTTTTCTAAATATTTGTGGAAGTTGTCTTGCAAAGTAATAAACTCGCTTAATGAAGGAATTTCACGATTACTTGGAACCATGTTGCATGTCCTTTTTAAGCTAAAACTGGACAGTTTTTCAATTCTTCCAAAGTTCATCCCTCCTGCACTGCTCGGTGCCTGCCAGAGAACAGGCGCGCACTGGCAGGAGCCCCAGCGGCTGGAGGGCACAGCAAACCCAGTGGCACCCTTTGCATCCTCTAACCTAACCTTGTCCATCGTATGGCCCCCTTCTACAACACTCTCTTCTCTCGCGAAGTGATGTGCTTGCCGAAGGTTAGCCGGTCTCTCTCTGGAGTCTCACCGGCGACGGGCTTCTGCACTATGAGACTCTCAGCCGGGTGCCATGGCTGGCCCATACAAGCGCTGCGTCTGTGCTTCCAGCCAGCGCTACCCTTGGCGCTGTGCTATCACTTGCAGTGTCGCCTTCTGGGCCAACCAACATCCCTTTCAATGCAACGTTCAAATTTCTTATAGGGCAGCGAACTCGTTATTTGAAGGTCGCAGGTTAGGACCCTGCTAGTGGCAAGTTGTCCTTCCGTCCACTTTTCTTTTTTCAAATATACATTATAATTGCGTTTAATAATATCCCCTATACTTATCTTGGCATCATTATTACTTCTAATTAATATTGTCTCTTATTCTGTGTGAAGCCTGAAAAACCGCTGTTGAGAAGGGTTTCTAGGCGGGCTAGCTCGTAGATATATTGTGAAACGGTCTGTCTGTGTTTCGCTTGTTCACGTTGTCAAGTTTTCATAATGAAACCTTTAGAACCCAGCACTTGAAAGAGGAAATGCAGTCCAAAGAACTTATGAAGTTGATGTAGGAAGGAAAGTGAAGATTGAGGTTCATTCATGAATGTTCTCATTGCAGTTCATCCTATGAATGCTATAAATGGTTCTTCTATTCATTGGCAGATTTATCAGTTACTTGTACGATCATGCAAATATTTGGGATACAAATGTAATGTTTTTCTTATTGGAAGTATATTCTGTTCAAAATTGCAATTCTGTATTCACCAGAGTATACGACCATGGCCGAATTTGCAGTTCATGCAGTAAATATTATGGTATTTGAATAATCAAAGAAATAGCAGCCTATACCAGTATAGAGCAATCTTAGTTGCAAAGTAATGCATTGCTAATAGACACATGTCAAGCTATGTCGTACTTCATGTTTGCAGCATACTACTCCAGGGTGACTAGATATGCTTTATTTTTCGCAATCGCTGATATACTCTTTTTTATTTACTGAGGAGTATTCACTGTGTGCGCATTACCTTTGTTTCCCATCTTGGTGTGAGGCCCTGTATGCCCAGCACATGAGCTGTTTAGCGGAACAGGAGCAGTTTATCTTTCACCAAGCTTCATTCCGCTGCTTTTTCCTGCCGTGCATGCTGCACTTTTGTTGTCTGCAAACGAGCACTATAACATAACCACTAGGAATGTTACTTAAACTACGCTTGGAGTAAGAAACGGCTGTGTGCATCGCATTCCATAAGGGAGGGGGGTCTTTCTCACTCTGAGATAATGCTCTGAGGTAGTATGCGAGAGATTACTGGTCAGCTGCCAACTCGTAATAAGATTTGTTGTGCGTGGTGCCAACAGGTAAAAGAAAAATGTATTCTGCTCGCCGTAATGGCTACCGGCAGCGCTGCTGGCCGCTTCCACGTCTAAATGCGCATATATACCCGATAAAGCGGATGGAGGGATGACCGTCACCATTTCTCAGCGGTAGAGCATCGGATGCTTTATTCGGAAGTTGCAAGTTCTTTCACTGTGGGTGGCAAGTTATCTTTGTGTCCGCTTTTCCTTCTTCACATTTACCTAACAATCACTAGTAATAACATCCCTTATATTTTCCTTGCCATCATTGTCTCTTTGTTCTCATTAATATTTGCATATAAGTCAAACTTATTGCACGCAAGTCGCATACATCGACGAGATTCTTCAAATCGCCAATGTGTGAAAGCCACGAGATTTAAGGCAACCCTGCATCTCGCATTCTTCGGATTTCGGAATTGAGCATGGCACGACAGAAACTTCAATAAGGACTCTACAGTGCATCAGGTTGTTTGTGAAAGTTGTGTGCACTGGGCTATGTGTTACAAGACAGTGGCTAAGTTCCAAGTAGCGCTGACAGAGTGAAAAACATAAAAAGGGGGAAAAACAACTAAAAACAGAAATTCCTATGGGCGTACACATTTGCACACTTGCCTGTTGAGACGACGCAAGCACCGTCGTGTGACTTTGTTCTAGAACGCCCATAGCTCATAGCCTACCCTCGCTAGAAAGCTGGCAAATAGGTAAAATAATGTCACTACCTTTAATTTTATTCTGGTGATTTAGTGACAGCATTATCAGCTTGAGAGTGCACATTGGGCAACCTTCGTTGCTTCGCACGGTGGTGGTGCGATTGCGGTATCATGCATGAGAAAGGAAAAGTTGCACGAGAATCGCTGCACACCTAGTCAAACATAACAATGTAGGCATTGCAGCTGTCGTCTTTGACTGGCTTGGTGTGCCACGTTTCTCGCGCAAACCTTCCTTCCTGAAGGAATGCACCAACTACGTTCCAACCATGTGCTACTAGGTATCTTGTATCTTAACATACACAATACATTCTGCTATGTATGAAAATGCAGGTACTGATACATGTCTTGAGACATGTATCGCGATGTAAAGTCAAGAAACAGAAAGATTATCTACGATACATGTATCTTCGATACTGTTCAGCACTGTGTTCAACTATTATGACCCTGAGAAGCATGTGCTAGCTTGTAACGCAATTATTTGAAAATTTCGATGGCACTGGTGATGAGGCACCACTTGTATTGGAGGGCTAGTTGGAAAAGCATTCGTCCCTTCGTCTTCTGTGCTGGGGTCTTGTCCACTCTGTAGTTCTCAAAACCTTTTGTTGTGAGGTAAAAAAAAAATCTTCAGCCCGCATCATAAAAATATAGCAGGCAAGCCAATTGGAAAAGAGAAATGAACAGGGCAGAGCCAAGTGAAATTTAAAGGGGGAAGGATGTTCAGGAGAAGCAGACTCTACCTGCAGTCGAACCAGAAAGAATAAAAAGCTGTTGTTTTGGTTTGCAAAGTTCTTGCTGCTAACATGTTCGGCTGAGTTTAATCTTCATTGATGAATTCTTGCGATGCACAGAGTTTTTGCTTTTCTTGTTTGTTGCAAGAGTAGAAGTTGACTGCTGAGTTAAACTTCCCTTCCGAAGTGAGTGCTCTGTAAAATTACGACTTTTAGTTGCTGCCCCCCCCCCCCCACTACCCCTTAGTGTGAAGTTGGGTTGCATACCAGTTTCATTACTTTTTCCTAGTAGCAGATGCGGAGTAGGTAGATAGAGTTGGAGTCATTCCTGGATTTTCGTTTCATTTTTTATTATGTAACGATATTTTGTGGATTCAAAGTGCGACAAAATGTCGAGTTGCTTGCAATATTAATGGTTGACTTGTAGGTATTCATTAAAACTTTTCCTAAACCTCAGAGATGTAATTGCATTATTATCATTCTGAGGAAGAAAATGTTTTAATTGTGACACACAATGGTTGTTAGAATTCACTCGCGAGGGGTAAAATTCTATCTAGTTTTCACTTATACTCAATTTTCACAATTTGTGCTTCAACTTCTTTTTCTTTTTTTTCTTTATTTCTTCTATTTTCTTTCTCTCTCGATTCTTTTTTTTTTCCTTTTCATTTTTTTCTGTTCTCGCTCTATTGTCTTTTTTTTCTTTCAAAAGCACAATTCCCTCATTTTTTACTGCTGTATCTATTCTTTTAAATTTTTTTGCTCTTATATTTTTCTTCATGCATTGTTTTTCATTTATTTATTTATTTATTTTACGTTCATTTGAGCAGTTTCAGTTTGACAGTTCCTGAGCGCAGACAACCATTTCATGATAATTTCTTTTTCCTTGTAGAATGTGTTAGGAGTCGTAAGGAGCATTGACTTTCGGACTTCTATTACTGATTAATCCAGTATATTTCTCATTCATCTTTCTCCTCCCCTCTTTTTCTTTTTATGAACCAAGATTTAATCACGAGAGGAGTTTGCGTTTGCAATCACGTATTTGTAATTTGCTTTTAATACCTTACAGTACCGTAAAGGTATTAGAGATTGTATCTCTAGTTTGACCTCGTTACCCGTTGTGGTTTTCGAAATGGCTCTCATTTGCCCACCGTTGGGTCTGGGGGGGGGGGGGGGGGGGTCTTGTAGAGCTTATATGCCACCATCTTTTGTACGTGGTTTGCACGCCTCCTTATGCACTGATTGAACAGTGTCTGAAGGGGCTTCTGGTAGCTCACTTTGAATCTCCAGGAGGCCAATTTTCCTCCTTGGTTTTGGATATTTGCATGAATATGCAGTATCTCGAGGTCGCCCTGTGCGGTTGCACTGAATACAACAGTTTGGGGGGGGGGGGGGGGGGGGTTCCTCATAGTTAAGGAGGATGTTGCGGCAGGTGTCTTTGCTAAAAGTTGTTCCACTCCAGTTGCACTAAAGTTGCGGTGTTTATTCAGAGAGGCTTAAAAAGACCCCCATGTTGGTCTAGAAATCTGGCTTTCTCTGGGAAATTGTAGGGCAGCTTTGTATATTTTCAGTTTTTTAATTATAATAATAATATTTGCACACAATATTTTCCACAATATTTATCTTGTTTTTGTTTTCCTCATTAGGATGAGCTGATGCGAATTGAGATTACTGTTTAGTACTTGTTTTTCTCTACTCGCTCTGCCCGATTTTTTCTTCTTTTTGATTTTTGTATATTATTATCATTATTATTTTATTCGATCCAAATGCACCGATTCGCTTTTTTTACTATCTCCTCTATGGTTTTCTTTTATTCTCGGCTTTTATTTCTGGTCTATGCCTGTCTGGGCTCTGTTTGTAATTTTTCTCTTTTCATTTTAGTAATTGAATATGAGGTGAGATAGCAATGAAAACTCGAGACATTGTAATGAGTCTCTTTACTAATTCCACAATACTGCCCGAGTACCTGCCAGGCATTTATTTTTCTCGGCCAGCACTGAAGATGTGGCCTCTTTTCATTGCTGTGTTAAAGGCACTCATTTTTCCTGTCCCCGCAGCCTGTGGACTCTCTCGCCTGTAGTGTTATTCAGCTGGCAGCCTACGCAGTCTCCTTGTCTTTACTTTTGCAGCGTCTGCTTGTCAATCGTTTAAGCCAAAGTTTCACGCTTGCTTTGACGGTTGTTTTCGCTCCACTACTTCTACAGTGGTATTGCAGTTCACTTGTCACAGGCCTCTTCCTGGTATAGCAAGAGTCCTTGCACAACTAAAGATTATACACTTAGTAGGGTGCAGACTAAGCTTTCCTTCTTATCGGAAAAAGGTTTGTTGTGCTGCACGATGGTGTTCTTGTTTATGTGGCCACTGCTAAGACATTTCTATGTTGTGCGAGTAATTTTCGTGTCGTCGACGCTTCATTGTGCCCTTCTGCAGGAGGCCCACACGTCACTTCGACCAGGAAGTCTGTATTGATGCGAGTTCTTCGGGCACCGCAAAGGCTGCCTAAGCTGACGTGGTGGTTCCGCCACAAGCAGCGTCGCACGCAGCTACTGAGACTGGAGACACTCAGTTATGGCCGCGACCTGGAGTATTATTTTAAGCAAAGAAATCGTTTGCAGCAGACTTGGGGAACCGACTGAAAATAACACTTGACCCTCTGGAGAACCTGGTTGCCTTGAGAAATGCCAAGTTTGGGAGCCATTTCTACACCAACCAGGCTGAGAACGAGTGGCATATGCTGAAGCTTGCATACTTGATGGTATGAAGTCGAAACAGCCGTTCAGGGAATCGCTTCCAGGACATAGATATTGAACGGTATGTTTCAACTTGTGGTGTAATTAAGTCTCACTTAATGATTTTGAAAATTATTTGGTCAACTATGTAGTCATTGCCAATTAGGTTTCAGTGAATTGCAAATGTACAGTTCTTGTAGCTGTCAGCTTACATAGCTGCCACTGTCAGCCATTTTAGAAAAAGAGAAAGAAAGAGGGCCGTATGTGCAGGTGTGACCTGTTTTACGAAGTATGTGGGAATTTATTTATTTATTTATTTACAGGATTTCTGCTGGCTTCAAAGTGAAGCCATAAGCAGGAGTGGGTAACATATAAATATAGCACACTGAACATTTTCACAATATATTACGCACAGAGAATGCCGCGGATACACAGGTTTTAATGCGCTGAAAAGAAAAATATACAGTGCATGACATGCAATTGCACATAGCTTAATACCTATATAAGTGCGTACTAACATCACTTGTGTACTAACAATGCAACGTCACAAAACAAAGAGTACAAATATGGCAGGAAGACATGCTATAAGTTTTTTAGCTCCGATATGAATGACGCCACTGTCGCCGCCTCCACAATCCCACCAGGGAGGCGATTCCATTCGCGTACAGTTCATGGGGAAAAAAGAGCCCATGTGCGAGTTCGTTCTGCAAGAAAATTCCTGTAATTTTTTTGGGTGATCCGCCTGCGTGGGTCGTCGCTCGACTTTTTCTATATACGCACTTGAATCAATGCCAAGCTTATCGTGATAGAGCAGGTACATATATTTTAGTCTTTCGCGATATCGCCGCAAATGTAAAGCTTCCAAGTTCGCTGTCTGACGCAAAGCAGTGATTGACGTAAGGCGATTGTATGAGTGAAAGATAAATCGAGCAGATTTTCTTTGCAGGTTTTCTAGTTTATCAATATTTTTCTTTGTGTATGGGTCCCAGACCACGCAGGCATATTCCAAAAGGGGACGAATGTAGGTTTTATATGCTAATAGTTTTATTTCTTGCGTTGGCTGTCGTAACGATCTTCTAAGATATCCAAGCTTTTTCATGGCTTTCTTTTCTAGAAAAGTGATATGTTCATTCCACAGGAGGTCTGAAGTGATTAATAAACCTAAGTATTTATAACGATTTACAGCTCTAAGACAGCGACCATTTATTGAATACTGGAAAGTAAGTGGTGCCTTCTTTCTGGAAATAGTCATTGACACGGTTTTTATAGTATTGATGCTCATCTGCCATTTTTCACACCAAATATGTAGTTTGTCCAGGGCACTACTTAATAATGCCTGGTCAGCAGGTGTGTTTACTTCCTGAAAAAGGATGCAATCGTCCGCGAACAGTTTGATTTTGACAGGCATATCGTTTGCGATATCATTTATGTAAACTAAAAAGAATAGTGGCCCGTAATGTAAACTAAACAGAATTGTGACCCTTGGGGAATGCCTGATCGCACGGGCGCCGGGCGTGAACACGAGCCGCCAACTGATACGCATTGACTCCCAGACTATGATAAGTATGGCTCTATTCATGAGAGAAGCGAGTTATTTTGTACTATGGGTTTTAATTTTAACAAAAGCTTATGGTGCGAGACGCGATCAAATGCCTTCTGGAAGTCCAAAAAATTTATATCGATTTGACTTTGTTTATCTAAGGCTGAGGCAAACTCGTGTATTGTCTCAAGGAGTTGGGTAACCGTCGACATTCCCTTATGAAAACCATGTTGTCGGCAATCAATCAACTTATTTTGTTGCAGAAAGTTTGACAAGTGCGTAAAAATAATATGCTCTAGCAATTTTGAGCAGGTACACAATAAAGATATTGGTCTGTATGACGTAAATAGTGAACGATTTTCCGCCTTGGGGATCGCAACAACCTTCGCACGCTTCCAATCTCTCGGGAGTTCTGTAGTGGACAATGTTTTTTTGAATATAATAGATAAATACTTTGAGCACCATTCTGCATACCTTACTAGAAATGCGTTTGGTATGCAATCAATTCCTCGTGATTTCTTTATATTGATTTTAAGCAGCAGTGATAAGACACCCTCTTCAGTTATCATTAAGTCAGATATTTTAGGTACGTCCTGAGAAATCGCAAAATTTGGTTGTTTTTCATCGTCATTTGTGTAGACTGAACAGAAGAACTTGTTAAACGATGACGCAAGGAGTGATTCATCAGTTACCAATTCCCCATTAATGAGGATTTTATATGCCTGTTGCTTCCCAAGTGACAAGTGTCGCTAGAACTTCGCAGGAGCAGAAAGCAAGAAGTTTTTCAAAGATATGTTGAAAAAGTAGTCTTTTGCCTTCTTTATGGTTTCATTTACCTGCAAATGCATATTAGAAATTTTGATACATGAGGAGATGACAGGTTCTGACGCAGTTTTTTGCGCATCTTTTTTAGTTTGCGTCCCACTCGCGCTACTTCCCTCGTCGTCCAAGGGCAAGCAGATTGCGTTCTGATAATCTTTGAGGGGACATGACTTGAGACGCAATGGAAATCTTAAGGATGTGTATTTTGAAAAAAAAAATAAAGTATTTTTTTTTTCATCTACATTCTGACATGGTTTGCATTCTAATTACGATAAGTTTTGGCATTTCATTAGTGACTGGCCACTAGACCAGCTTGTAGTGTGGCGCTTCCCTGCATACGCATAATATCGTGTAATGAATATACCCTACATGTCATTCATACTTTTCCAGTATTTACGTCGTGTATGTAAGGTTGCCAGCTTTTTTGACGAGTGTTCACGAACTAAGCTCACAAGGCCCGCTATGCAGGATTCATTAAGGAGCCCATGCATACCTTCAGTGGATCAATGCAGGCCTCCAGGGAGGCATGTCGGATATGCTCTCCTATGCATAAGCTCTTTAGTAATGGTCAAGCAACCCTTTCCTCTTTAATTACAGTTTACCCTCTCCTCACTATTTCTGGCGACCCACCATGTTTGTCTAATGGTTAACTGCTGAATTGAAGGTCTGTTGTGAAATACTGGCCACAGCGGCTGCATTTCGATGGTATCGAAATGCTGGAGGGGCCATGTCGATGTAGTGCTTCAAATTAAGTTCGTGTTAAAAATGTGAGATCAAAATGCCTCGAGCCCTCCGTGGCATTGTTTTTCATAATCCTATTGTGGTCTTGGTATGTAAAACACCAACTATTAGTATTTTATTGTCATTCCAGTTTCTCACTATCATCCACTTTTCTTCTTTCAGCCTGAATGGTAGACATTTTTCTCCATCCTCAATGCCCCGTGGACCCTCACATGCGAATCCTAGCGCACCTGGAGACTTAAGAAGTCTAGTAGACTCTGTTGAGGTCTACGGATCCGGTCGTGAAGACCCTGGCTGCCGACCGGGCTGCCAACATTACAGACCGACCTGAACAGAAATGCATAAGTGCAGCGGGGCTCAGGAGAGGCCTGAAATCCTGCTTGCTGCGATCATATCAGTCATGATAATAAATCTTTTCTCCTTGTCCTGCAATACTACATCCATGTTTCAATTGTTACGTGCCTGGATCTGATAATGGTCTCCTCTAAAGCCTGTTGTCACACTACCCGCTAATGCACGTAGTCTCCAAAACTACTGTTACACTTGCTAGTTCTGATTTGTGCACTTCTCATGCTGGATGCTTTGGTAGACTTGGCATTTGGCTAATTGGAAGTGCTTCAGTATGTGCAATCTTAGATGCTATACATCAGTCCAGCTGACCCAGGTCAAAGCAGCTATAGTCCAAGCACTCTTGTAGCTCAGGTAAACTTCCGCAGGAGGGATAAACAACCCAGATAGAGTGTGTTCATTCAGAGAAATTGCATTAGGGGAAGTGAAATGTACAAAGGTAAGTGTTGAAACACTGCTCTTGCGTGTCCTTCCATGGAGGTTGTTGGAAAAAGATCGATGAATACGACGAACGGTTCGGCCTTCAATACACGTCCTGCAGCAGCAACCCGTAGAATCTAGCTGTAGTTTATTGTACATAGTACACCTTTTTTTTTTTTTTTTACACAACGAGAGGCTCGATTTTCGTCAGAAGAGATTACGTTATTATAGGTGCTCAAGAAGTTGTACGTCTGCTCTTGCGACCCGCCTACCCTTAGGCGTGCACACTGAGGGGGGGGGGGGGGGGGGGGGCCGCAAAGCCGGTGCATTTACATAACAGGGAGGGCGTTGCGATAAAGCTTCGACTCCGCCTCTCCCGGAGGAGCACCCTGTGCGTGCCTAAAACCATCTGTCACATGCAGACGATGACCTCGTCCAGGGATCCCAATACCAGCAGCGGCTTGCCGGGCCTCATCAACAATGGCTAAAAACGTTAGATCGGCGAGTCTCGCTTACCCCGACCATATATGTGTTTTACAGTGCGGTTAAAAACGTCGCTTTCACTTTGGCTTGCCTGTTGGAAGCGAAACCAAAAGTGAGTGTTTCCACCGGCATCCGAAACTAAGCGAATCCGAAGCCAATCCAATGTGTAAAAGTTGGTAGGTGTTCTGTGGCTGCGACCCGACGCGAGATCGTAGGTGTAGTGCAGACGCCGCCGCGGGGAATACGCGTAAGCTGGCGCAACGGAGGTGTTTGTAAACCGCGCCGGCTTTCAGTCATATCGCCAGCTCAATTGGCCAGCTGCATGTTTCTGTAAGCGCAGGTGTGCGTCTATCGCCGCTCGAGCCGTTCATCACGGCAGTGAGCCGGCGATGCTGACTCCGCCGTCGCTGGTTTCGGGTCGTACCACGAGTCTGCGACATCTGAACTCAAATGCATCATCGCGGAAACGTCGTTTTTCTGCTGGTTCGCCGTCATCCGTGCTTCTGGAATGACGTCCGGATACTGCTGACCTGTTTTTACACCGCCTGGTAATCGTTCTGAAATGGTGAGTCTTACACCTGTTTGCACCTGATTGAGTTGACGTCGTTGTTTTTCTTTCGTTCATTATTTTGCGCCTGGTTGAAGGTATTGCACTGACCCGGTGTGTCGTTCACAATATCTTCTCAGAAGTACGCGAACCAGTATAAGCGGGACAACTAATTTGAACGCGACTGCTAAACGAACGTTTCGCCAATTTCACAAAGCGTTACAGGTGTTACCTGAGCATACCTTGGTGGACGGAGATGATGGCAGTTTCCCACGGGACTCAGATTCTTTGAACGTCATTCACGCTTGACCCGACGTATTGTATGCAAGAAAGAGACGACGAAACTTTCACGGAAGCGTCTTTACTTAACGTTTTCAGCAGGTGAACCAGTCTTCGTCATTACTCTAGCGAAGGCTGGTTCACCAGCTGAAAACGTTAAGTAATGACGCTTCTGTGAAAGTTTCGTCGTTTCTTTCTTGCATATATATATATATATATATATATATATATATATATATATATATATATATATATATATATATATATATATATATATATATATATATATATATATATATATATACACGCACGCACACCAAAACTGTCAGGAGAATATAAATTTGTTTTTGTTTTCAATGTTCATCTACTCTCGAAGTTTATCATATATTGTGTTTATAAGATTACTATCTAGAGAATTCTTTATTTTAGTAGAGTATCTGTGATATTTACTGTTTTTGATTCGAATTCCTAATGAAATAATAAAGCACAGGCCATGAAATTATGTGGTACAGTAAGAGGCACATTACTTGTAATTTTAGCAGTATGATGAGATACAAAAATAAATAAAACCACTCAAAGAATTAGTTTTGAAAACAAATAAAAAGAGCCCAGCAAGGAGAACCTTGAGCAGCAGTAATTAACATCATAAAAATAGAATAAGACTGTAGGAAGACGGATTACTCATGGTATTTAACAGCATGAAAATCAAAGTGTATATCCGAGGGCTCGTCAGTGAAAACAAAGCAACAAAAAACTGCTGCAAACGTGAAGCTATCTCGTTTCTTATGCTTAGGTAATAAAGGGATCACCAGTGTGCATGGCCCTGTACCTAGGTATTTGAGTGTCTTTCAATAGAACAAAATGCTGTCTTTTCATACTAAGTGTGTAGATGTTCTGTCGATTAATCCTTTGCTAATGCTTTTAAGTATAATGTAGTTGCCAACAAGTCCTGGTGACACAGTGATATAAACGTCGGTGAGATCCATCTATAACGGGTGGCGCCAGCGAGAACTGGAGGGCTGTTGCCCCCACCCCCCCAAATTTTTTCTCCTGCCCCCCTTCCCTCCTTCAAGAACAGCATAGTAAAAACACAATGCATATGTTCCTAGTATCTATGCCGCCCCTAAAGGAACTAGCTTGTCGTGGGTGCCCACCCCCTCTCCCCAGGTAACTAAAATCCTGGTGCCGCCCCTGACTTCAATGTGGTGCACTGATAAAAATAATAACATGGTTGCTGACCAGAAAGATGCTATGCCTAGTGGTTTAGGCTTCTATATTAACTTTATTTTAGTCGTAAGGGCACAAGGTATGACAAAATTTGAAATAAGAAAACTCGCTTTTTTGTAGTTTGGGAAGAGTGTACCTTTGTGCGTATTCTTCACATACGTGCTTTTCTTAAACAGTATTTGTTCGTTGCAGAAAATAACTTTTTCTGTATGCAACTAGTGAGTGAACGCGCACCTTAAGGCGAGCCCCTTGAATGTGCTCCACCCTTGCGATACATTTTTTTTTAAATCTCTCCGTACGAAAGCCAGCATTCGTGTCTCGAATCAGCTGTGTATAGGAAATTGTCGGGTAACTTCCAAGGCAGGTCGAAGACTATGTGTGCCTTTCTGCGTGCACTTGGTCTTCGGAGGGCATATCAGTTCAAGCTCTTTCGATTGTTAGCTTCATTATATTTTGCGTGTCATTCCTTCCGATAAGCTGAGATGCTGAGGATAAAGAAAGTCTTCAGCAAGCTTAAATTTACGGCAGCCAATACAGTTTTCTCGTAAGTGTGTACAAATGCTGATGACGTACTGAGGTGCTTAATGCGGAAACGGCAAGCTCTTCATCGTTGAACCTTCTCAGCGTCCTTCAAACTGAATTGCGTGCAGGGTGACAACAGATATGCTCTAATGAACATGAGTATTATTGTTTGTTCAATTAGACGGAGTTGTACGTGCAAACTGAGTGGTGAAAGTGTTGAAGTAATGGGATTGTGCTGCTGACTCTTTGATGTGTTTGCGTAGGTTTAACGTCATAATGATTCCAACATTGAATGTTGTTTTCTCGGTTAATGATGGCAGTGTTGCTCGAGCCTAAATTCTAAAGTAGTATTGAAACCTGGCAAAAAATACAGTCAATTTGCTGGAAAACGTTGACCACAATCGATGCTACATTGCAGATAGAGCCGCATGAGAGCTTACAAAAGAAGCAAGGCAAGCAATTTGAGTGGCTTCAAAGTGAAAAACTGACTTTGACAGTGATTACCTGGCTTGTAGCTACTAAATCATGTAAACAGTGTTTGTGACCGAGTATGTTCTTCAACTGTTTTCTAACCGCAAAGGCCAACTCCTGCTATTTTTTTACCATGTCAAAGTTATGGGGTTTCTATGTTCCTGAGACACTCGTGTCACGAGCCCAATAGCTGAAATGCTCAGGAAATCTGAAAATAGTTTTTAATAAGCAAAATTGTGCAATACCGAAACCCAACCGAGCGCCCTGTCTGCGTATGACGTATGATTTGGTAGAGCCGGAGGCCGTATACTGGTTCCGCCGGCACATAGTATGAAAACTGTGAAAGCCAGTCCTGCGAAGCACCGGCCAAACATTACAGAGGAAGGATGAAAGCTTTCCCGTTCTATACCCGTGCCAAACACCGCCGCCGTCGCCTTGTGGAAAGCGCAATAAACACTGTAGCGGCCAAAGTAGCGATGCCATTGGCTGTGTCACTTCCGTTGACATGCCAAACATGACGTCACACAGACAGTGTTGCCAATAATTTTGGCAGCTGAAGTGAGCTTTTCGAAGCAATTTTTAAAATTCCTTCATTATTTAGTAATTCTTTCATTATTTAATAACAACTTCATTATTTTTTCTTGTATTGTGCGTAATTGCATAAAACTACTGAAGTGGAATTGAAATTATACACTTTACAGTTTTTGTGCCACAAATTTTCAAAGGTGCCCAATCAACTCAGTGTTTACGTCCTAGCGGTAAAAAAAATATAAAAATTCTATGAGAGTGGGAAATTTTGAAAAAAGTGTTTTTCAGTTACTGGGAATACAGTACCTCAAAATGGCCAAAAACACCTGGGACATATAAGGCTTATTCATCACCTTTAAGTCTTTTACGCACTCTGAGATGTTTTTATGTGGCCTGTAAAATAACGTGTAACTATGTCGTGCAAAGGTGATAAAATTTTTCTTTGATCTTCCATTATAACTGTCAGTAACTTTTGCACCATGATTTCTTGTACTATGCATTGCAAAAAAGTCTTGCAAATTCTTATTCGTGAGTTGACAGCTGTCATGCTCTCAAAAGAGGGTACAGTTAGGGAAATACTGGAAACGCTGAATATTACCAAAGAAGGTGAGGATATTTGTGTCTGAGCACCTTGTGTTATTCTCACAAACTCGCGATTTCAATTAGCAGAAAAGAGCGTGACAGCTTCGACATTATACTGCTTCTGCTATTGTCTTCTTTTCGTGTTGACCCTCTCTGTCTGCGGTTATCAGCCCCTATAACCTTCCCCTGAATCTTTTATTTGAGCATCTGTACAGGCTCATTCAACACGATCCTGCATAATGGGTAAATAGGGGCGCTGCAAAACTTTTTGAGCATGGTCACAAAATGCTGCCGATCGGTAGTAGCTGCTTCTGAGAACACCCGAGCCAAATAACATCGCGCAGCATGCGACCTGGAATTTACAAATAATTATCAAAGTCAGCTAAAGATTGCTTTCTCCTCTCTCGACAACTGACTGAATAAGCTCAGAAATCATTTGTCACGACCGTTCTATCAGCAATTGGCCAATTTGAACGTGGCAGTTGTTGCAGCGATCGCCACGGGAGGCGCGACTTGTCCACACGTGGGCGGGTGATCTCAATGAAAAATCTGCAAATTCCAAGAAGAAAAAAAAAGAAAAAGTGCTCAAGGTCACACGGCATACGTGATTTATATTCTTTGCTGGTGCCATCTCTCCCTGCTGAGCTTCCAGTCCTTTCGTCGGGACGAGAGAAGAGACAATGGGATTGTAGCGTGTGACAAATCTTTAACTCCGCTCGTACTGGATAGATTCCTAACGTTTTTGCGGCGTTGAATTTGTGAGACAAAGAGCTCTTCCAGTGAATTAATTGCATGGTTACTCAAAAAACTGTTGCAGGGCCCCTTTAGGTTTAAATGAACCAGCTGGTAGTGTGCAATCAACACCCTGTCTTCTGTCTCTTAACATGTGCAATGTGTACTAAGTGCAACGTTAACTACAAATAAATACCGACCAGCCCACCGTGTAGCTATACGCATAGCACGAACTTGCATCACATGATCGTAATGAGAGAGCTGTTGTTTCATGACCTTTTCTTCAAATGAATGTCTGGGATTATTCTCTCTTATGACCGAGATGTTGATCCATGCAACAGCTAATGGGATTTTTGAACCTTTGTGGCATCCTTCTAGTTCAAGAAAGTCTAGATTTTTTTTTTGATGTTGTTGCTACACCTACAAAGCTACAACTGATATCCACTGAAAAAAGAACTAGGCCTAAAACTGGGCAAATATCAGTTTGTAAATCTTGTTTTAGAATGAATACTTACCTACTAGCTCTGTTATTATTATTTTTTTTAGGTTTCCATGCTTGTATTTTGTAATAATTGACGCTTCATTAAATTCTTTCTTTGCTAGCCTGTTATGCTTCACTGAATTTCTTTTCTGGATTTTTCATTGTTGTATACGTAAATTCCACAAATATAGCATTGTAAAACATCCGTTGCAGTTCTATTTGTCTGAGTCTTCTGTTCTGCAGCTGTTGCCTTGAATATAATCTCACTTTTGTGTCCAGAAAGAGGCTGGCCTTCTTTATTTCTTTTTTTCACCGTCACAATGACAGTTTCTAAGTATTATGCGCCCTGCAACTAAAACGTTGTATCATCTTCTGCTCTTTGTAAGTTGGTTCCTTAGCGTATTTAGTTTTACACTCCTATGTTCCAGTCTCCGAGGTTGTGTTGTTTTAGTGCAAAGTCCATGCATAAGTTAAATAAGTATGACCAAAAAATATAACCTTGCCTGACCATTTCCGAAGCTGAAACCAATCTGTGTCAGAAGAATTCGTTTTAACGAGTACTTCATCTAGTGGAACGCTTAGGTGTTCAGTGCCGCTCGTTTTGAAAAGACACCACCAAATTATCTTTCCGGCTTGCCTTGGTTTTACAGTGATTGTGGTGCGTGGCTGTTGACCCGAAAGCTGTGGATTCGATCCTGACCTTGGCAGTCGCATTTTGATGGAGGCAAAATACTGGAGGAGCATGTGCTGCGCAATGTTACTGCACGTTCAAAAGCCCCGCTGTAATTGACCAAACAAAAATACAAAAACTTTTGGTGTTCTTTACAATTTTCCACCCACCATATCAAGCTCGGGATGTGGTCTCTGGTACCACATTATTTTCAGAAATGTGCTTACTCTTTTGCTGTCTCTTCTTACATGCATGCTTTTTTTTTCTTTTCTGTGTTACTCGTAGCAGTGTGTTACAGATCTGAGATATCAAGGCAATTTTAGTGCAGTTTGAACATTGGTTAGCTAGCATAAAAAAATTGATTTCGTTTAGTTTGTCAGTTATTATACTGCCTTTCAAGTTTTTTTCACAAAATATAGAGATGACTTGTGAATTCAGGTCCTGTTTTCGAAACTATATCTACGGTGGTGTTATCTGGACTGCTTGCTCAACCTGGAGGCGTGATAGTTCTGGTAGAGCCTATTTTACCTTGCTTCTACAAAGTGCTCTCTGTTTTATATTCGATCTCTACATAACGCCCTTTCATGTATCCATCTTGAATGAATGAATTGGGCAACTACAAGCCTCTCTGATTTTATATAAATTTCTTATTTTAAAGTGCTCATGGAGTACTTAGTATGAGCTGGGAAAACAAAATCATTTCCGCATTCAGCCACTGAAAAATGCAGATGCAAGAAGGAGAACGATAATGCTCTAGTAAGGTGATGCAATATACTAAAAAAAGCAAAAGATACAATATACTAAAAAAAGCAAACAGGAAAAGTCGGTTATGGTGACATCGAAATGCATGGAATTATCTCTTAAAGTGATGCAGACAATTTTTATCAACAGATAAGAAAAATGTGCAGGTGTGGGGGAAGTGCTATGCATAGATATATGTACAGTCTTCGTAGAAGTGTGTGCACGGGTGGGAGCAGAGTCGGTGGCGTAGTCACCGAGGAGGGGGTGTGAAAAATCTGCCCCGTACATTTACTTCGTACCTGGTAGGAACTGCCGAAATACCCCCCTCTCTCCTAAGCCTGCACAGGCCTATGGCAGCCTTTTAGGGTTGATGCAGACAGAGTTGAAGGATGGCAGTGTAAAGAGAGGCACTGCTGTTAAGTGGCACGGGGTAACAAAGTTTGTGAAACGGACAACGTTGTCGCTTATTGCTGTTTCAAGTACGGTGGCTGGCTATACCTGATTTCACTTGCTTTCACTTGACCGAAATCCTTTCGGAGTGATAAAAAGGAGATTTGAGGGGTGCAATTCTTTTCGGCTATGTAGGTACTCGTGACTGCAATAGATAGGGAATTCAAGGAAGGCATAGAGGAAGTGAATTGTAGCTTTATCTGAAAGGACGGAATGGCACGCTGTTGACAAAATGAAAGTGGAAGAAGAAACAACTTACTGCTGACCTTAGCTAAACTCATGTTCACATTATGCATCCTTTACAGCTTCAGATGTAAACGAAAGAAGGCAGATTTATTGAGGAGTTCATTTCTTTTATACGCAGTAATATCAAGCCAACAGATAATTTACTTGTTTACCTATGCTGTCGTCTCCTTCGGGAAACATTGCAGGGGTGGGTAAAGTTGATAGCAGATCACACACAACATCGAACGAATTAGTATGCTAAGTAATGGGCAACCGGCAAAATGGGCAACTAGCATAAATGATCAACTCCATAGATGGTCGTCTAGATAAGAAGCATGTCATTCAAAAGCACGTATAACCAACCAATATTGTATCAAAAAAACATTGTATTGCTTGTCGCAATACAGTTCGCGGCATTTCGCTGGGTTCACGCCATTTGCAGTGCACAGTACTCGAGTGCTGGCAGTATTTGTAGCAATATGTAATGAATGTTACATTGCTACAGCTGCAGAAAGCCAAAACTTCAAACACAGTCGGCATTGTACCATCATGAAGCTGTGCTCAGAGTTTGTATTAAGCAGTATTGTAATTTTCGGTGAATTTCTTATGTACTCTATTGCACATTGTGATTACATCCCCATTTTTACTTTGGAATCTCTGCCCGAGATTTGCTACAATGCTCGTGTTGCATGGCATTAGTTGTCCTTGATTGCCGATTCTCTCTTTGAACTGAAAACCCATAAGAGATATTTGGTTTTTACTCTGAAACAAAATGATAGATAACATTTCAGTGACGTCTTTGTTCAGGTCAAAATTTATCTTTGTTCTTTCATTTTTCATTCTATTTCAACGCACTCTTAGAAACTGTGTTATGGAAGCGAGAGCACAGACAATAGTCGGAAAGTAAAAAATCCAGGCAGAAATAGCAAGCCAAAAACAGTAATATATAAAGAAAGTATACATGCAAATGGTTACAATTAAAGTTGCATATTCAATTCTGCCAAAGAGCACCAGTCACTTAGGAAGTCTTCAATCTTTAGGTGCTAAATGATTTATGTTCCTAGTGTTGTTTATTCATACCTACTAACATCAGTGGTAAGTGAAATTATTTCCTCACAATTTCTGTTCTGCTGTTTAACCAATAATGAATGATACACAGCGTCTCTCATAATCATATAGTGGTTTTGGGACGTTAAACCCCACATATCAATCAATCAATCATGATACACATGTGTTCGCATATGAGGCATTGATCTTTCTCTGTTTTGCTTGTTTGCTGTGATATGGGAAAGGACTTGTAAAATTCAGCTTTAGTGGCCTTCCACAAGGTGTATCGTGTGTCTTGCGTCATATGCCCAGCCTCGGCAAACAATGGATTCTGTAGTTGATCACAAAACGTGACGGGAGTCCACTGACACATTGGGCATTGTTACGTCTTCTTGCTGCAGCCATGAAGTTCAACGGAGCTCCGAAGCGGTACGTTCCGCTGCCGCAGAGCCAAAGTGACGACGAAGTCGTGAGGCTTGATGATCGGCAGGTGCAACGTCGCAGCAGTGCTGCACTCGCGGGTTCCGGTGCCGTGGCAACTGCAAACGGTCGTGTCGGTGCAGCTCCTGAACGCTCTGCATGTGCAGCGCACATAGCCATGACACGTCTGGAGTCCAAGCAAGCTGATGTGAGTTTGTACTTGTGTTGTCTCCATGCCAGATTGTTGGAGGTGCTTTAGTGCCTTTAGGACGTAGTTAAAATGGTTTTTCACGTGAAATTGTCTCTTGGCTTGGTTGGCGCAAACATGCACCCGACTGGCATCTGCACAAGTTGTCCGCAAAAGCCATACGAAGCACATGACCATGTAAAGCACATGAGGTTTTTTTTGCTTATTTAGTGTATTCCACTGTGTGGTTCATGTGTCACTGTGATTTTATGTATAACACCCTCATTATTGTAATGCCTGTAAAAGGGCCTTATGAATTTGACAGACATAAAAATAAATGATACACAGGCCTCCAGTGTTCCCGACTGGAGCAGCGAAGGGACAGCCCCTCTGTCAGTGTGGCGCAAGTGCTGCCTTGCACTGAGCCTGGCATGCAGCGCCCTGTTTGTCATAGGCCTTGGTTGGCTTCTGCCATGCCGCTACGACAGCCTTCAGCCATTGGAGAGCGTGCCCAGCGTGATGCAGCACTGGACGCACCTCTACCAAGGTCTTGGTGAGGGCCATGACTTTATGCTTGGTTTGGCTCAGTTCCTTCCAGCTTCCAGCTTTTAAAACATTTTATAAAGCATCCTTCAAGCACCCTCAAAAGGCAGGAAATGTTGTGGAAGTTTACGTAGAAGTTCAGAGAAGTTCAATGACATACAAATTTTTTTTTTTTTTCAAAGTGGTGTTTTGGTGTAAACTGCTTGGGTTCGTGGCATGAGCAAGGGGGACCACATTTACATTAGTCTCACACTAAAAGGCACTCTGTACAACACTGAATGTTTATGTTACTTTTTCTTTTTTATGCGATTTTCATACCATTTCCAAGCTCTACCTGTGTAACATAAGGCATATTGCGCTTGTTCACTTTGCATTTATATCTTTTAGCAGTTACTCAAGTAGATCTGCTTTTTTCTCTTCACTTTTGTTCTTGATTGGAGTTTGTTTCTCTTTGAGATGTCAGGCGGCCAAGTTGAAGGCAAAACTCTTGTACTGGCATGGCCATTAGATGTGCCTGTATGACCGTTATCAAGTGCTTGAGGACTTCAGCTTCATGCCAGTTCCATGGTATAGACTCCAGCCATCTATGCACCCGAGGTGGAGCATTGAAGCTATATCAGCACTCCTCTAAAAATTGTGAGGTTTTTTTTTTTCGTGGAACACCATTTTCTATTGTCAAAAGTGATGGAGATACTTATGCAGTTTCGACAACAGCTGCGGAGGATCTCTCGCAAGAGACGTGAAGCACCAATGAATGACATAAGGTTGGGCTGTATGTGACATAAGGTTGGATGATGTGAAATGATGGCATTTAAAGCTGATGTTGGCATGTGTTTTGTGCGCGATGTAGAATGATGGCACTGAGAATCGACAAAAGGGTGTCCACTGGTTACTATTCAAGCAACCTCATACTTTCTGGGAAAGGTGAAGGCTTGAAGGCATCAAAAGCCACTCAATTAAAAAAGTCGCATAGCCAGCGAAAGTCCACGAGGGCACTTGCCTTCGATAATTACCCCAAGATGGAACATTTCATTGTCAAGAAAAAGACAAGTTACCTATCTGGGTACCCATTTAAGATTCTTTAAAACGTGGGCACCAGTGACGTTCCTTGCTCCGCGACTTCCGATAGCGATAGTCACAGTCATAACAAAGAAACGTTTACTGTGTTTCGATGCAGCACTGACGTCTAACGTGGAGGCCTCATTTGAGGATGATGTCGAGCGTGACTGCACAGTGCACCTGGGCTTTCAGCAGTACTCTGAGCACAATGAAACGGCCACGGTCGGCGTGATGGCCCTCAACGGCATGACGGGCTCCGTCATGTGGAAGCAGGAGCTGTACGCAGCCGCAGTACGGCAGCAGTGCCTCCTCGACGTCTGCTTTGTGTTGGGTGACGGCTCCAACTCGCTGCTTGCTGCAGTCAACAAGTCCAGTGGTCAGTAGCATTTAACAGTTTTGAGGGATGCTGGCACAAATTTTTGGCTGTTATATTTTTTGCCGCCAACGCCAAGTGAAAGGCTAAGACCTTAAGAGCTGAAGGAAATGTGCTGGCACGTGTGAGTATGCCATAAATATTTAATTACGACGTATCTTCAAAAGGTGTTGTTTAGGTAGACAACGAAAGTACAATATGAGCTTATCGTTGGGTTTTTGCACCGAATATCGTGACATTTCTTCGGTCGCTTCTCACCGTGGCTTCATTGGAGAAGCAAAAGTGACCATTACATATATCTTTGCTACTTGATATCATGACAATTTGACACCTTTTGCTGCAAATGAAAAGCCATGCCCTCATGAGCCTAGAAAACGTACTGGTAAACGTGAAGGCAGCATGAGAAACTGATTAGAATGCTTTCTTAATAGCTAGTTTTGGTTCCTACTATATGCTCTGTCGTCGAGACAAGGTTTTAGCTTCTCATCATGTACATCGACCAGCCGCTCCATTTCATAGCTCTGTTTGTTATGTGCCAGCAGTCATTTTGTATGTTTTGGTGCCTAGATGTCATCAAAACTAGCCATAGCAGTTCTTTAAGTTGGGATAATTTGATACTGTAGCCTGCTGTCACACCAGTGTTGATCTTAGTGTGTGCTCTATGCAAAAATTTACTTTATACCAAATAAAATATTGTTATTTACTGTCTTGACATTTACTCAGATCTGAATACAAGGAGAGGTGTGTGGCAGAGTAATGTCGGCTTTGAAAATTCTTGTTACAAACCTTTTACAATCTCTTACAATCTTTTGCCTTACAATCTTTTGCCCCGCCGCGGTGGTCTAGTGGCTACTCGGTTGCTGACCCGCAGGTCGCGGGATCAAATCCCGACTGCGGCGGCTGCATTTCCGATAGAGGCGGAAATGTTGTAGGCCTGTGTGCTCAGATTTGGGCACACGTTAAAAGAACCCCAGGTGGTCAAAATTTCCGGAGCCCTCCACTACGGCGTCTCTCATAATCATATGGTGGTTTTGAGACGTTAAACCCAACATATCTCTTACAATCTTTGGTTTTATGTGCCGAAATCATGGCAGGATTATTGTGTGGGTTGTAGGGCCAAGTGTTGAACGGTTCTTTAATAGAAACCTAAATCAAGGCATGTGGGTCTTTTTACATTAGTTTATTTTAAGAAGAAATATATCGTACGAAAAATCACAAGTTTTACGAGCAAAGGTTCCTGGAATGTTGTGTCATATTCCTTCTCAAAATTATGCAGACCGTGGCTGCGAGAGTGTGACATGTTGTCCCTGTGTAAAGCTATGCGTTCTAGAAATATGAACAAAACATGACTCCCGCAGCCTTATTACGCCATTTCTAGTGGAAACATAGTCGTACATTTTGAAAGTACGTACATTACTCCTATCATGCCTTGGTGTGGGCAAAAAAAGATGCGTCATCACATTTTCACAATCGGCGCGTGTCCTCAATATCAACTCGCGTGTAATTTTACATCAGGAAAACGTAAAATGTTAACTTCACGCCTATTTCATTTTCAACCCCGATTGTACATGCACACAAATCTGACCACTGCAGTTAGCAAAAAAGCTGCATTACGCCGGTGCAACTATGGTATGCTGAATGGTATCACTGTGGTTCAACTTCATGTGAATTGCAAATAAAAAAGATCTATGACAGGCTTGGCTTCTTTCAAAGAGGCCACAGGGACTATGAGGAGAGTGAGGTCAGTTTCTTTCTCCAACTTGTTTCTTCGGTACATTTGGAGCCACATTTGCAAAACAAAGTTTGCTTCTCAGTTATAAATATTTCGTTAAGCCCTGCATTTTTGGATTCACTGTAGCGTCAGTGCTTGCATTACGACTGTATCCCTATTGTCGACGGTGCACGGTCGTATGGCATGTACATTTATTTTATCGCAGGTGCATTGCTCTGGTACGCACACGACCACGGAAGCGATGGACAGCTGGGCGGCAGCACCTTGCAGTCCGTCTCGGACTTTCACGTCGTGACTGACTGCAACGACGATGGGCTGCCAGACCTTGTCGTGTCTATGCAGGTGAGTCGGCCGTATGGGGACACAGGCTCAGTCTTTCGTTCATCTTGCAGACCTCTGCCTGTTGTTTTTGGTAATTCCTAATGGTATTTTTCTGATTGAATTCAGGTGTTGAGAGACGAATGTTGCAACTGGTTTTATTTACGTAAAGTTGGAATAAACGTGAAAAACCTGGGGCCAGATTTTCTAAAGGGCAACGATCGTTGTGTGTGAAGCACTTATAGGAACACTAAAGAGCAACAATGGCTCGTTTTAGGTCGCCAAACTGCACTCACAAGAGAACTCTAATGCCACATTTTTCACTATTATAAATTTATTATTACCGGAGAAAATCAAGGCTGTAGTTTTATTTTTAAATTTCGTGCTGAAATTATCGTGCATGAAGTTAAATGTTTCCAAATGTATTTTTTTTTATTTTGGGGACATTGGCACAACGAAATTATCTGAAACCTTGTATCCTAGATCTAGTACACTCACAGATGTCAATGTGCTTCAACTTTATAAATAGAAGCTACGTGGGACAAAGTAGATGCCTTCAAGATTTACGACGTCGCACCGTGTTTGGTGTGGGAATCTCAAGGTGGCGGCTTCATGTGCTTTTGCTTTTGCCTTGTTTTTTTTTGTTTGCCAAGCGTCATGTTGCAGTAAGATTTGTTTTCGGCATGGTAAAAATTGTACTTAACTAATACGGGAAAAAATTTTTTGCTCTTTTGTGTTTCTTAAAGGAGGGAGCCAGGGGCATGGTAGCACATATGTTTTATTTGATGCATTGCTGTGAGTGGATAGAAAACATTGGCAAGAATTAGTCAATATTTAGTAATTAATAACCAGCATTAGTCAACCATTGCCGACATTGAAGGAATACTTTTCAGTGCTGCTCCCGTGAGAGTAAATCCTGTACATGGCATATGGCATAAATGTCATGTCATTTATGTCGGGCGCATTCTGATGTCCTCGCTAAGGATGTGACCACTGAAATGTTTTTTTGTTGATATCTGTCATGCCGTTGATTTTATATTGTGAATATATGTGACGCCATGCACATTTTGGTGTACACCAAGTGAATGAGGCAGTTCATAGAATAACTGTGATGGCGTCACACTGGACGGGTTCCACAAATAGGTTATAAACATGCACACACACAAACATTATCAAAGTGACTTTGATTAAACAAGAACAAGTTCTTTCTTTAGCATGTTCGCTAATGCTGAACAGAAATCTAATGGGTTTCCTAGTTACTGGTGGTCTTAACTTGCGTTACACGGGGTTTGACGCAGGACGAGACGGAGAGACAGAATATTTGGGCTCAAGGTGCACTATGATGAAATTCTGACTCATGTGGCCCACAATTCTTCCTTATTAAAAGGAGACAGTTGTCGTTATAAAAAAATAATCAGCCTTTAACATACACCAATAAATTTTTGTCAAAGCACACTTTTGCAAGCTAAAAGCAAATATGCACTTTTTTTTTTATCCAGAGTGGTTCTCTTGATAAATTATGTATTATGAAAAATCTATTTGTCCATCTTTTCTGCACTTTTGTTGTTAAATAGCCTATAAAAATTTATATGGGCATATTTTAGAACATTTGTAGATCACTGTTAGGTCATCACTCTAATTTAGTTCTGTTCAAACAGAGCTATTACCATATGTAATATTGTCGTAGGGAATCCCAGTACTTTTGTCACTTGTGTCATGCAATGAAATTTTGTTTTATAACACAATGTTTACTGTTTTTATAGTAAGTAGGTACAGATAAGCTTTTTATTGGAACACTAATAATCAAAATCTGACTACTACTCCAACAGATAACGTTGATAACGGCACAGAAAATAGGAAAAAGCTGCCTCTATTTCGCGGTCACATTATTGTGTGAATAAGCTTGAGATGATAAAATCGTTCAATCCCGCATTATTATGGCACAGTCGGTGAGCTTTGCCTGCTTTCACGCAGGTGGAGAAACCGAGCACCGAACCGTTCTCAGTGTCCAAATTAGAGAGGGCACTGGCACTGATCTCCCAGGACGACGGGCGCCTGCTGAAGGCACCCTTGTCACTTCCTCAGTGCCAGAACATGCCGCGCATCCTCGGTTCACTGGAGCACGGCCGCAACATATCGCACCACGTCGACGTCTTCGTGCACTGCCTCACGCACCACAACAAAAGTATGTGGGTGACAAAACTCCATAATCGTTGAAAGATATTTCAACATTAGCACATTCACGTATACATTGAAATAGGCATGCAAGTTCTGATGTGTGTGAAGCATTGAGTTCCCTACTGTTACCCAGAGGGAGCGGGGGTGCTGCAATTGTTAGGCCATAAAGGGAATAATGGGAAGTACGTGGGTTAGTTTAATCTTCCTGCCTGCAGCTTCAAATGCATTCAATGCTTTGTTTATTGTTGTGTTTTGGCGTTTGTTTCGGTAAAAAACTATGTCAGTCTAAACTTTGCCAGCCAATTCGAGTTGGTGAGCTTGAAAAGTTTACGTTGGTGAAGTGGAACTGCTTAACGTTTGCCGAATTTTGTCTTGCAACAAGGCACCTCCGGACTGCACGGAGCCTAACGGAGCCAAAATTAAAAGTTTAGACTAATACCTGTACTACTCATCATTCCCTTGCTGGCTGAAGCAGTGTGCGTTACAGCTCTCGTAGACCCCTGGGCAAGAGTTCCCTCTAGTAAATATTGTAGGAAACCCTTATGGTGTGGAGGTATTTCTCATTTAAGTGGGGAAGCTGCTCTTCCAACTTTTTAATTTATTGATTTTGAATAAACATGCTTAGTTTACATATCTTTGGGTGCCAACTTAAAGGGCACAATTATTTATTCAGTTTATTGTTTACGTTTTAAAATATCAAACATTTCATGTACTTTTCCTAAACTGAGAAAGTTGCATAGTAATTCGGTACATCGCATTAATGTAAAATGAGAATTGTGTGTAATAAAACAAAATAGAATGTTTCAAGCTTATTTAATAAAAAGCTGTAATATGTTGAAAATTCCTGTGTTCAACCACAATGTGACATCTCGCTGTCAAGGAAGTGTCCTTACTGGTGAAAATGACTGGTGAAAACAGCGTCGTAGCACTGTGAGGCAGTCAAACGATGTATTTCACTTCAGGAATTGTGAAACCGCAGTGTGACGTTCCAGGAAATTATTTCGATATGTATGATGCTTGACGTGCCTAATGTCCTCCATCCAGGCATACTCCTGAAGGTGGCATTAAGTCGGCTGTCTTCGGTCAACCGGACAGACAGTGAGGCCACAACACATGTGATGTGGAGGTGAGCGGCACTATGCGAGAATGAGAATGCTATGTCAGGTTGCGGTCGTGATGTGTCATGTGTGAATGCCGTGTCACACGTGACTTTATTCAGACTTCCTTGTAGTGCCGGCACCTACCCTTGCTGCCTGTGTATAATTGCACTGACTGAAGTTTTGAAACACCGCATGTCACTTCTGGTGTGATCCTCCTCTTGCATGTGACGTTGAAAATATGGCAACCCTAAAAGGAGTTGTCACTGTACTGACTGGTGAAAAATTGTAACTTGACTAGCTGACTTACGGTAGTAGCCTTGTAGCTATACTCTTGCACAAAATGGTTTCCACGTTAGGGTGAGGAGGAGGGACCAAAGGTAGGAACACTGCCATGTCCGGCTGATGTCTACGTCTGCGTTAAAGAGCCTGGGGCAGTAGTAAAGAACTATCTATAGCTAACTACTGTGGTACATGTGCCTGGTAATTATATTGGGTTTTTTGGCAATATAAAAACATGTGCTACTACAACCTAAAAAAAATGTGAGCTCTACCCACAGCCATCATTGTCCTTTCCAAACATGATTTTAATAAATGCTCCTTCCAAGACCTTCAACTTATTTTCGTAACATCAAGCACTTCCCGAGTGTTTCAGATAGTCAACATTCCATTTCAGAGACACATTAGTGTGGCTTGTTTTAGGTTGGAAACTGGAATGTCCTGTTAAATTTTGTCAGGGATTCTGACGTTGCTGCTCAGCCGAACATAATGCTTTAGTTTGTAACAACGAACATTTAGTTCTATAATGCAAAATGTTTATGTTAGCCAAGAAGAAAGCTCTTGTGGTTCAAGCAGAAACCATCTAGCAAGGCTCTATTTCACACATGAAAGGCAGGTGTGGCGTGATTGTATGGACAGAGCTTTCATTTTTTCTTAGCTTGTAACTGTCCTTGGTCTGCTTTGTTGTTGACTCCCCGGAAAAAGGATGTTGGTTAGGCCCAAAACAGTCTGAGTAATCTGTCACTGTTAGTGCTTTTGTTTTCACGTTTCTGCATTTCACTGCCCAAATTCATCGGGTATCAATTGACTTGACCGTCGTCTTCAATGTGGTCCAATGGGTCAGCAGCAAGGGCAAGTCTGCCAGTGGGCACGGCCTGCAGCTTGTTGTGCTTCAAGAGGATGAGGAGCCCTCTCTTATTTTGGCCTGGGGCCACGGCAAGCTGCTCAAGCTGTCCGGCATCGACTACCACCAACGCTGGAGCACGGACCTCAAGCTGGACTCGCCCGTCAGGTAATACTGGGGTTTTTCGATTTTCAGACATCTGGCAGCCAGCGGCGACTTAGATACACTCAAACCTTGACATAACGAACCAGGATATAATTAAATATGGGTTATAATCAAGTAAATGAATAACAGTCCTGCAATAGTGAGGGGAATATTTGTTTATAACAATTTATTGGATATAACAAACTCATTTTCAGGTAAGATGCAAGTTTGTTATAATGAATTTTGACTGTAGTCTGGGTTCTGGCAGAAATCGGTGTTGTGGTCATGTGTGTTAAAATCTCGAGACAAACCGAAGATGCCTAAAGATTGCAAGATGGAACGCTGGGACAGTTAGCATTATTATCGATTAACGCTACCACCCTGGCAGCAAACTAAACTGTATGCTGCTTGAGCATCTGTTCTTACTGCATTGTCCACTTGAAGATATATGTGATTAGGCTCGCGGAATAACCGAGGAATAGTCTGCCACGGTGGAACAGTGGTTATGCTTCTCGGCTTCTGACCTGAAGGTAACGAGTTCGATCCCGGCCACGGCGGTCACATTTTGACGGAGGCGAAAAGGGAGAGGCCCATAATGTGTGATGTCAGTGTACGTTAAAGAACACCAGATGGTCGAAATTTCCGGAACCCAACACTACAACGTCTCTGATAATCGTATCGTGGTTTCGGGACATGAGACCCCAGATATTAATATAGATTTGAGGAATATTTTTAAGCATACATATTGGGGACCACGTGCGCTGACACTGACATTGACATCCTCGCAACACTGACATTCTCGTGCGCTGTTGTGTTATATACATAAAAAAATGTGTGCAGGAATAATTGGAGTTACTCGATGGTTTGATCAGTCTGAAACTTCGTACTGACAGGCACTAAATTACCGAATAATGCTTATTTCAAACATCGGGAATTCAAACACCCTAATATTCTTTCAAATATTTTAAGTGTGCATATTTACATGCTGGCCTGAAAATGTGGTCTTGTTGAAACTCGTATACACCTGTGATAGGATCCCGTGGCGGTGGTTTGCCGATAGCCGCCACCAGAGGCTGAGCAGTGGAATTTGGCGTTGTTGCCATGAATTGTTCGACTGTTAGGCCAATTCAGTGCATTGCATTCAACTTTAGCACATACCTGAAAGGCCCGCTGAACTTATAAGTGTCTCTTCGTAGGAGCGTGGTTGCCGGCCACTTCACAGCATTCAGCACGTACGAGCTGTTCGTAGTCTCGGACCACGGGACTCGATCTCGAGCCACACTGGTGAGTTTCTCGACGGGGATTGTGTGTTGTTGGTGGTATGTGTACTGTTGGTGGTATGTGTACAATGGCTCCCTGGTATATCAAAACTGGTCCTATAGAAATGTTCTTTGTTGCAAACAGTGGTAATTATATTCTAAAAGGTTTCATTGTAGCACAATGCTCTCCTTGTATGGAACTTATGTTCATCACGTTCAGTATACTGTCATGGGGTTCTGACGTTAACAAAGGCAGCAGTCAGTATGTTCAAGACGAAACTCTTTATTTGGGCAACGTAGTTCTGTAAACTGAAAGGTTTAAAGTACCAGCAATGCAGGCTGTACACTCATAGCGACGAAAACAGCGCCGGCCGTCAAGCAATCTGTAGAACACGTTCTCTTTTACAAAGCACTCATTGAACCTTTCATTGTTATTGCCGGTGCCCATGTAAGCTCTCTAATAATCATCACTATTTGCGTCCTGTGCGCAATCTTAACAAAACGATGTCAAACGATTGCAAAGCTTCCCAAACATTGTGGTGCGGTGTGCACTGACCATTGCCTACACTTTTTGTGGCTGAAACCTGAACACTTCAAATGCAGCTTATAAATGTGCAGGGAAATATACATGCAGTGTAGTGTCATTGTCACTAGTCTCCAATTATCGGGATCAAATTTTAGAAGCTTGTTGGTGCAGTGTTCGTTCGGGCATTATACTGCATGTTAAGAACAAAAAGCATTCGCATAGTGTGCTCTGGGCGGGTAAGACCTCCCCATCTATGAGTCAGGGCAATGGGCGGGTACCAGCCCCCTGCCCCCTCTCAACTCGCACCTCAGGGTGGAGATTACATCTTACTGACAGTATCGTTTGGCTAGGAGACTACTGTGGCGGTGTCAACCTCCTGGAGTATCACGTGCTGCATAAGGGGAAACGAGGCTCTTAATAATATAGCCCAAAATCGTAAAAAATGCTGATTATCAAAAATTGCAATTTGAAGTGTTTAAAGTCAAAAGTATGTTTGGGAAAATTTTATATAATGGCTAAATACTATTTATTTTTGTTAAAAGCTTACTATGTTCAATTTTAAGTGTTTTTAAAACCGGAAAGGTAATTTTCTTGGCATTGTTATTTTTGTGAAGTGAATCTGCCTTACGGAAGTTTTGAGCAAGTTTCTCAGAAGATATGTAAACAAACTTAGTACCGTTCTTTTCTGCAGCACTTCAACTACAGGCTAAAGCTTTTCTGTTTCTCTCAAACTTGATAGAATTGTAATTATGTGACAAATACCAGCTAATTACTGGAAGCTAATTTTTACCTTCCAAGTTTTAAAATTATTTCTGATAAATGAAATAGCCGTTTTGACATCTAGTTAGCTTTAGCCTGTGGGATGAACCTTTTGAAGGTACCACATAGTTTTAAAAAGTAACTTTTTTTATTGCAAGTTACCATAACAACCTGTAAGAAGTTATCTGTTTTCATAGTTTTAAAAAGTAACTTTTTTTATTGCAAGTTACCATAACTGCCCGTAAGAAGTTATCTGTTTTTAATGAGGAAATCTGTCATTACTTTTTTCTAAATGAGATATTTCAAATCTGGTTGCAGATTTGAAATCTCCATTCAGTGGTACGCATGCATGGTAACTTTCATGACAGTTGGATCATAAATAAATAACTTTTTTAGGGCCCTCGTCTCCTCTTAATATGTTATTACCACGGTGCAAGAAAAATAAATCACGTGTGGACACTCCGCTCAACGGCGCGTCCAGATAATGTGTAGTTCTTTCCTCCCTTTGGCCCCCATGTCGCAGCACCACTCACGCAACTGTGGCCGGCGCTTGTGCCATAGAAAACGAGCTGCGTGCGTAGCGTCCGTAACGACATTGCACATGTGAGAGCTCAACATTAGAAGTGTAGTCTCTGTTTTTTTTTACGCCTTGCAGCCTATTGCGGCGTTCGCCGCACATGTCATTCTTAGGGAGTGAAAAATGTGGTATGCTTTTCTAGCTCTAGTTGCTAGCGTGTACAGTTAAAAACAAAAGCTATGAGCTGAGAAAAAGCTGAGAAAAACATAAAGAAAAATGCGCGTTCACTTCGCTGCTCTCGTTTTCTTAAGCTCTCAGGTCGCAGTGCCCCCCTTCCCCACCGAAAAACTGTGGCCGGCGCATTGACTAAAGCCGAACATTATCTGGACGCGCTCTTCATCGCGGCAGGCAGAGAGTGTTTGCACTTAAATTATTTCTTACCCCATGGTTATAATAAATAATTGAGACGACGTTGATGATAGTGGCCAAGCTGTGCAGTCGCATTGTTGTCGTTCCTCTCTTGCGAATGCAGTTCCAGCTGTTGAGCGCATCGACAGGGCACGTCAGCTGGCAGATGCAATACGACGGCACGGCCACGCGCGTGGCACACTTGGTGCCCGCCATCTCTCGTTACGTGGACGGCGTGCTCATAAAAGCCACCAGCCCTTTGGCGGATGCTATGGCCAGCCGCCACGACCTCGATCTTTGGGTCAGTGCTCTTCTGTGATTACCCTGCAGAGTTCAGTGGGGGACACGGTATTTTTTTTTAATGTCTGGGTCGATTTCGATGAAAGTTGATGAGTTTATGTGTATAGTTAAAGCTGTCATAACGAACCTCAATACAACAAATTTTGTGATATTATGAAGTTCTTTCATTTCTGCTGTTACTACATAGAAGCGTATGTATTTGTGACCACTATGTAACAATGTGGCAGTGGTTGACATTTTTGATATAATAAGGTTTTGCCACCGACAAGCTAGGAATGTTGCCACAAATTTAATAATTTTCACACGAGCGTGCATCTTCCGTGGTTGCCTCGCTGCCGGCTTATTGCGATGGGGCAGCATCTCGCGCAGCATGCTCGGAGCCTTGGTGACTGCAAGGGTAGAGCGAGAGGCCGTTAGTGCATGCGGGTGTGCGCAAGGCAGGCAGATGTAATATCCGTGTCGTTGGCTTTTTGTTTTCGATGCCTGGCACACGTTTTGTGACATTTTATAAAAAATGTCCTAAATTCACTATTTTTCCTAGTTTCTGCATGAAAACAATGTTGCCTTAACCAATCCTAGCACCAAAGTTTTTTGTTTGTGTGAAAATCTTGGTGGCCAAAATTTTGTTCACTAGGCCTCTAAAGGTGACTGTCATTTGCATCAATGTAGGCAGACTGTCTAGCAATGAAGATGTGACCATTGCATGGATGGATTTCATTTTATCTTCAACAGACGAAGAAGTTGCAGGAGCCAAAGTACGCCCATTATATGGAAACTTTTCACGGAATCCGTGACTACAACCCAGAGGTATGCATGTGCACTTTCTGAACAGCTGGTACAATGCAAATGTAATCAATGAGGCTGGCACTACTGTATCATTTATGCCACAAGAGTTATCTGCAGGTTTATACTAAGGAACAGCCTAATTCAGTACAGGATTCATCCTTAGAACTTCAGTCTTTGATCTGGTTCCTCAGCAATGTCTTTGATAAAGGAAGTTTGAGTTCTGCGTTTTTTTCATGATTTCGTAAACTTGATTGTATGGAACAATAATTGGTTGGCATGATGATTAGATGACACAATGTTAGTTATGCTAGGATCATTTTTAGAGATACTATGGGCCCTATCTGCAAAAGTCACGTCAGCTTGTTTCGCCATGCTGTATGAACTCGAATAACGGTTTACGCTCACGATTTTGTACCATTAAGATTAGCTACCGAAAACTTGGTCCATTTTCTTCAAGCAGTCATCGCGACCTCAAATATTGCTGCACCAGTATTGATTGGCACATTTCCGTGATTGTTTATGCCAGCTTTAACCTACATAAGATGTCAAAAAAGTCGTCACATTTCTAGGCTCAGATTCTCAGATTAGAGCTAGTTTTCCACATAGGGGAACTTTGCAGTCACAGCCTGCATTCTTACTGCGAATGAGAGGGCTGTTGGGAAGCAGCAAGTTCACATACTTATTTAGACATAAAACTAGGCAGGCAGATGAGATTAAGATGTTTGCAAGTATAACGTGTCACCGGAAAGCACAGGACCGGGTTGATTAGTGGAAAATGGGAGGCACCTTTGTCAGCACAGCCAGGCCGATAGTGATGGTGAAATGGCACTTCAGAGGAAAGGGGAAATTGTTCAATAAGAAAGAAAGCTAAAGCCAGAGGGAAAAGTTACCGCTAAGGTTATTTCAAATGTAGAAAATTATTAGTGAATGGAAGACCCTGTACGTATGTACCAATGATAATTTGTATAAATTGGGTCAGAAGATCACCATACACCTTAATACATTTTATTGAAAAATTGCATTCCTATTGTGCTATGTTACTTATCACTCTTGCCAAACAAGCCACGATTTGCATGCAATGTCTCGAGATTATCTGAGAACGTGGTTCTGTCATTAGAGATATTATGTGGTAGATAAGAATTTGAAAATCAGTTTTCTTATTTTGCATTTTTGCACTTTGCACTAGTGTAGTGACAGACCCCCACTATCACTTGCAGTGCCACAAATCTTAAGCATTGCACTCAGTGCGCACCAGCTTACAGCGCCCACACTGCGGGGTGCAATCCGCACACAATAAAAATCTGGTCTCTCTCCAGCATTCATCGTGTGCCGATGTACATTTCGCTGCTCTCCTACTCGTGTCTGTCTATAGGCAACCTACATCGCATCCATATAACTGGCTTTACTGCCACATTGCTTTTGAACTATTTTCAGTGTGGCTCTTAGAGCTTTCGAACGTGAGCCTTCTTTGTGTAATTTTGCACCCACAGCTTCGGAACAGCTTTCTGTTAAAAACAAGTACAAGCATTATTCTAATATTTAGCTATAGTGCATGTACCAACAAGGCTCATTTCCATATTGTGCGATGTTTCAAGCGTGCTGCTGTGAGTAAGAAATCATTCGTCATGCTATGCCATCTCCTTCTGTGTGCAGAAGCACCAGCTTGTGTTGAACACCCAAGAAGAGCAGTACTTCATTGTGGACTTCACAAACAAGACGGTGGACATTATGGCACGGCTTACCGTGCAGCAGCTCTGCTTTGGTGAGTATTGTGCCTGCATTGATGTCCCCCTCACCGAACTTTTGTCAGAGAGTCGAAGGCAAACTTTGAAAAGGAGTGTCACTCGGCATGCTCGTGGAAAAACATCTTCTCAACCTCCTACTGAGAAGCTTTCGGCAGAACCCGCCCACAAGGGTTCCTGCCTCTGCTGGAGCGCGCGGACCGCTCGAGGAACACGACCCATCTCGAGTCGGCAGCGCTCCTACTCTAGACGCAAATGGTGGTAGATGACCCCAACACTGATCTACTCGAACACTCCAAAAATCAGACAAGTGGCCGCTGCGCTTTATGATTCATATGACGTGGATGGCCCTTTCACGAAAGCAGGGGTGCGTGAAGTTATTCTGGCGGTGCCGTCTCGTTCGTTGTCGGGACCAGACACGATCACAGCACTCCTTCTGAAGGGCTTATTTAGGATCCACGTGCGTTCTCTATTCTTGTATTTAACGTGGCGTTCTCACTTGGCTAGATCCCTCAATGCTGGTGCTAGGGCAGGATCATTTCCATCCTGAAGCACAGCTGGCCTCCCGAGCGCACGAGATCGTACAGGCCCATTTGCATCAATTCCGTGTGCAGCAAGACCTTGAAACGACTCTTGAGCAGTCGCCTGTAATACTTCCTGTGGAATAACGGGCATGTTCACAATTCGGTTTCACGCACAGCAGGAGTGGTATGATGGCGCTCGTACACTTGAAAGAGATGCTTCTTCAGCTGAGGGTCTCAAAATGCCTGTGGTGTTAATGGCGTCGCATTTTCAGGGTGCCTTCGACAGCATGTGGCATCCTCGAGTGCTCAGGTTGTTCCGAGAGCGCCGCATGCCTGTGAACTTGTACCACCCGTTGCGGACATTCTTGTGGCAGAGCCTGGTGGTCTTCAGGTCAAATGCTGGCGAGCTCATTGCGTACCCCTCTTCGGGGAGTCCACAGGGGTTCCTGCTCTCCCCGATGCAATTGAATGTCATCATTTATGACCTTCTGTGCCCCCCCCCCCTTCCCGCCAAAAGTTACGATCCGAACGTACGCTGACGATACCATCAAGATTGGGACGTTAGCTCGTATGCAGGGTGGCCCCCTGCGCCCCACGCCCCAAGCAAAGGGTGTCATTCTATCGCAGCGTTATCTTACCTGCCATCACGTACGGTTCGCCAGTCTGATGGGACGAGCTATGCCCAGACTGTCGCCTGAAGTCCCGTGCCATCTTCCTGCAGCGCACGGTTCTCCGGAACCTGTTGGGGGCATTCAGGTGTTGGTGGGAGCTCCGCCAATCACTCTGGAGCTCGATAGGGCCGACACGAATTTTAGGCTGCTAGTCTCGCAGCAGCCAATTCAGTATGAGGAGCAGTTCTTACAGACTGACCACATCCTGCCTACTCTGGACGTCTGGCTGGACCATTCCATAGCCAGACACGCCTTCCCGTTTCATAGACTCGCGCGGGAAGAGGTGCGGCAGATGGCCTGCATGCCAGAAATACTCGTATATACGGGCGGGTTGTACACGTATCGCTTGGCAGTTCGTCGTACTGGGCTCGAGCGAGTGAATCGTATCGGTAGGCAGGTATCGAATCGACCATGCTACAAGTGCGTACTGCACAGAAGTCATTGCAGTAATCAAGTTGTTAAGTTCATAAGAAACACACCCCTTTGGCCCCGGCTTCACGTAGACGGCACCCCTGGGCTGACCCACCCAGGGGAAATCGGCAGTCGCCTTTTCCTATCTCTCTCTCCCTACATCTTCGTCTTTCTTACTTTTTTAGCTTTCCTGTCTACATCTCTCTTCTGCTTACTTCCGATTTTCTCAGCGGCAAGGGTTAACCCTGTGCAAATAGCCTACCTTGGTCTAGGCGCATTGGGTTATGGCAGTGTTGTACGGCTGACGTCTGCAAGCTTTCAGCACCTGCAAACTTGCAGCGTCCCCTTGTTGGGCTCCGTGGTGGGTGGCCGCCAACGCTGCTGAACAAAAATAAGACCGGCATGCATGGAGCATTCCCTCAACTGTCTGATCGTACCGGCCTAAAGCGGGTACGCACCGACGACATAAATTTCTTCAACCAGCCAATAGAAACTTTCCCCCCCTTCCACGTCATTCACTGTGAAAAAACCGGAAAGCAAGCCAGGACCGTATCTCCTTTCGTAGTTGCCAGGTGTCTTACTGAAACTCTCGGGGCTGGATACAAAGTAACTAAAATGGCTAGCGGAGACCTTTTTCTTGAAATTCGGGACAAAGCACAATTTGTAAAGCTAGACAGCCTCTCAACGTTTGGTGACGTACCGATCACCGTAACACCACACAGATCTATGAACATTACTCGCGGAGTGGTATCTGATGCAGACTTACTTGACCTGACCGAAACTGAACTTTTGGAAGGGTGGAAGAGCCAAAATGTCAATAATGTACAGAGAATTATCATCAGAACAGATAATAAGGAAATACCAACGAAACACTTGATACTCACGTTTGCATCCAGTAAACTACCAGATTCTATTCAAACAGGGTACACGAAGACATCTATCAGGCCGTATATACCAAACCCTCGTCGTTGCTTCCAATGCCAGAGGTATGGCCATGGCTCTAAAACCTGTCGTGGTCGCCAAACTTGTGCACAATGTGGAGTCCTAGGCCACGTGTCTGAGAACTGCAAACAACCGCCACACTGTGTAAGCTGCGAAGGAAACCATGCCGCATATTCACACTCCTGCACATACTGGAAAAAAGAAAAAGAAATAATTACATTAAAGGTGAAGGAAAACATATCATTTAAGGAAGCACGGCGAAGAGTCGCTCCATTCTATGGACCTACATTCGCTGATGCAGCGGGTCAGGGGGCACCGCCGCACCAACCCTCGCCACTCCTTCGGCCCGCGCATACCGAGCCGGTGGTTGTGGCACCTTCCCCCAAGGCGGCTGTAGCCCAGGCTACACCGCCTACTCCCAAACAGAGACCGGAGACTCCAGAGTCTTCGGGTCTCAAGGCCTCCCCTCACCAGGCGAGGCCCGAAATCGGAACTAACAGCCCGCACGTGCGGGCATCCAGTGCCTCCGAGGAGGCAATGGATACGTCGGCACCCTTGGTGCCGAAAGAGCAGCGTGGCTTCTTGTAGCGCGCCAAGAAAACAAAAAAGCAAATAACAGGGCCTGGTGATGGCCCTGTTGAGTGAACTCGAACTCCCCGGCTAAACAGCCACTCGTTTTTCGTACACACAGCATTATTTTACATTCACCATGAACACTCAAATTATACAATGGAACGTCAGGGGCCTTCTCAGAAACCTTGACGACATCCAAGAACTCTTACACGAACACTCACCAAAAGTGCTGTGTGTACAAGAAACACACCTTAATTCAAAACACACAAATTTTCTTCGTAAATACGTTATTTTTCGAAAGGACCGTGATGATGCCATGACATCATCCGGAGGTGTTGCCATCATAGCGAAACAAGGAATTGCATGCACACACTTACAACTACAAACATCCCTTGAGGCAGTGGCTGTTCGAACGGTTCTTTTTGATAAACTGATCACAATCTGCACTATTTACATTCCTCCTAGCTATCAGCTGCAAAAACATGATTTACACTCTTTAATTTATCAACTTCCGGAACCTTATGTTCTCCTTGGAGACTTTAATGCGCATAGCAGGCTATGGGGTGACTCTCGGTATGACGCGCGAGGTCGACTGATGGAACAGTTCCTTCTCTCGTCGAGCGCATGTCTCCTAAATCGAAAAAAAATCAACCTATTATAATCTCGCTAATAACACCTACTCCTTCATAGACTTAAGCATAGTATCTGCATCTCTTGTGCCTCTACTCCAGTGAAAAGTGGTCTGTAATCTGTACGGAAGTGACTACTTCCCCGTAGTTTTGAGCACAACTACAGTAACTGAGTGTCCACCACGTGTTCCCAAGTGGCTCATAAACAGAGCCGACTGGGAACAGTTTTATACCATCGCTCGTCTAGGTTGGAATGACATATGTACTTTGAACATTGATGTTGCTGTCAACTGCTTCACAGCGTTTTTGATTGATGCTGCAGCAAAATGCATCCCACAAACAAATGGACACCCTGGAAAACAACGTGTGCCATGGTGGAACTCTGAACGTTGAAACGCGCGCAAACAGCAAAACAGAGCTTGGAGGCTGCTTCGAAACTCACCGACAGCCGAAAATCTTGACACCTTCAAAAAAATAAAGTCTCAAGGCAGGAGAACGCGTCGGCAGGCCAGAAGAGAAAGCTGGCAGAAGTTTTTGTCAGGGATCAATTCATACACACAGGAGGCTAAAGTCTGGAACATGGTCGGTAGGATAGCAGGAAAACAAGTACACACACTTCCACTCGCAAACACTCAAGGTGATACCTTGGAAGATCTGGCAAACTTCCTCGGTGCACACTTTGAACAGATATCCAGCTCGTCCCACTATACCAACACTTTCCAAAAATACAGAACAAGAATAGAAAAGCAGAAACTCGAACACAAGTCCACTAGATACGAGTCGTATAACCAAGCTTTCAGTCTAGCTGAGCTCCGAACATCTCTAAACTCCTGCAGTACTTCTGCCCCAGGTTCTGACCGTGTGGTGTATGAAATATTAAAAAACCTACCAGCCGAAACACGAAACACCTTACTTTGTTTATACAATGCTATCTGGTTTTCTGGCACTATCCCTACCTCCTGGAAAGAGGCTATTATTATTCCCATTTTGAAAGAGGGCAAGGACCCTTCTTTAGCTTCAAGCTATAGACCTATTGCACTTACAAGCTGCTTGTGCAAAGTCTTCGAAAAAATGATAAACTGCCGACTTGTACATATCCTTGAAACAAACAATTTGCTCGACCCATTTCAATGCGGGTTTCGAGAAAGTAGATCCACCACAGACCACCTTGTTCGTATCGAGGCACAGATCAGAGACGCCTTTGTCCATAAACAATATTTTCTCTCTGTGTTCCTCGATATCGAAAAGGCTTATAATACAACATGGTGTT